CTGACTAGAAGAGTACAGACTGAAAATAAAGGCCTACTGTTTGAGAAACTGGTAACTCTCAGTATTAAATAAGTCGTCTGCCGTTTCTTGCTTCCACGTGTTGAGACAAGGTTTGGGCAACTGGACGGACATATATTACACACACGACCAGCCACAACATTAAAACCACACAGGTGAAGTAAACAAAATGAATTATCTCACTAAATGACACCTGTCAACGCTCAGGCTATATTTGGCAGCAAGTGAACTGTCATTTCTTGTAACTGAAGAATAAAAAATGTGCAGCATAAGGATCTGAGCGACTTTGACAAGAATCAAACTGTGATGTTAGATAACTGGGCGAGAGCGTCTTTAAAGCGGCAAGTCTTGTGAGGTGTTCCCAGTAAGCAGTGGTTAGTACCTCCTCAAAGTGGGGATGGAAGTCTCGCCCATGTGGTCCAATCTCACAGAAGAACAACTGGAGTGCTTACTATTGAAAACCTTAATGCTAGTTATGACAGAAAGGTGTTAGGACAGGTTGCTGTGTATGGGGTTGCATATAGACCAGTCAGAGTGTCCACGCTGACCCCTGCCCACTGCCAAAGCACCCACAGTGGGCACAAAAGTGTCCGACTTGAACCATGGATCTTTGGAAGAACACTGCCTGATTTAATCAATCACGTTTTCCTTTACATCATGTGGACGGCCGTGTGCTTGTGCATCATTTACCGGGTAAGAGACGGCAGGAGGATGGGAAGAAGGCAGGCTGGCAGAGGCAGTTTGATGCTCTGGGCAAAACCTTGGGTTCTGTCTTGATGCCTGATACCACATCACACCTGCAGGGGTGTTGTGGAGTGCATGCCAATATGTGTGTGTGTGTTTACTCTTCTCTTTCTGACGTATGAAGGCATCAATTGTGACTCGACAGGGACATGTTAAATATGGTTCTGCGCGGCCAATTTAATCAGTTTGCAGGGAACACTATTCCGAGTAAATGGAAATTACCTTGGCAACTTAAGACCTTCTTCAGAAGCCTGCCAAAACATCTAGAAGTGGTTTCAACCGCACGAAAGAAACAGCCAATTTGAAAATACACTCAGCGGGTGAATTAGTGACACAACTTGTCCTCTAGTAAGATGTCCACTTCTGTAGTGACTGATGATACAGTCAGAATATGCAGTAAAGACTGCACAAATTTATGGATGCATTAGTGTCAAACAGGGTTGGTTGTGTAATGGTGTGCCAAATGTTTTATTACTCCATTTCTGACGCAGGTAAGGACTATGACTGGGCTCTCAGGCACTGCTTGGAACAAGGTGCTTGTGGCGACAGTGAGTCCGTTTTCATAAAGGCTTTTCAACAAGCTGATATTCCAGCGTGACCGTTAATATCTCAGCATTGTTTCATTTCACTTATTTTTTTGGTAATTTATACCTTTATTAGATGGAACGTGGAGAAAGACAGGAAATACAGGACAGAGAGGAAGGAAATGGCATGCAGTAAAGCTCCAGCTGGCTGGGAATCAAACTGGAGGCTCACTGCTTTAGATATTTGCATTCCTATAGTATGCTCCCTATCTACTTAGCTATCCCAAAAGAAATCAAGTGGCCTGTACAGCTTCAAAATTTCACTACAGTTCATCATGTTTCAGTGGAAGTGGAAGATCACAGAGTAAATGTGTGGTTTAAAATCTACTATTGAGCCAGCATGAAGCAAAATTACTGCAGAGCATTTGGAATACCTTATTAATAAAAAAATAACAAAAAAAGGCCTTAAAGAATTCAAGCTGTTCTGAACACAAAAGGGGCTCCTCTGCAGCAGAGTTACTCTACATCTTCTGAATGGCTTTTTAGTATGGATCGAACAGCATGAGAAACCAATATGATGCGAAAATGTAACGATACACTTTTTAATGCTAACTACATCCTGAACAACTTAACAGAATCAGGTAACCAACTCTTGTGAAGCTCAAAACAAATTATCCATCCATCATCTATACACCGCTTTATCCTCACTAGGGTCACGGGGGGCTGGAGTCTATCACAGCTGACTCAGGGCGAAGGCAGGGGACACCCTGGACAGATAACCAGTTTATCACAGGGCTACATTTAGAGACAGACAACCAAGCACACTCACATTCACACCTACGGACAATTTAGAATCACCAATTAACCTCAACATGTTTTTGGACTGTGGGAGGAAGCCAAAGAACCCCGGAGAGAATTACCCAAATTAAAAACAATCAACAAAACTATGCACAATAGACTACTTATTGACGAGGCAGCTACAGTCCAGAGATTATACGATCCACTTGTATAGTCTTAGTTTGGAAGATCATATTAAAAACTGCCATGCTACAAGCTTTTATTAGGTTTCTATACAAAAAAAATAACATCAGTGATCTAGGTGTGCTCTGTGTTTTCCTTAAGCTATCCCAAACTCTATCAAACCAGCACTGAGATTAAAGCTCTTTCTCCCAATAGTATCTTGAATGCAACAGGCAGCAGTGATCATAACTATTGACTTAAGACGTCACTTATCACATGAGATTTCCAGGCCTTACCTCTGAATTTCTTGGGTGGGTTGTTGAGGTCACCCGTGTCTGGTTGTACCACGCAGCGATCGTCCACAAGCCTGTGAACACAGTCACCAATTTAATGAGTCAGTCATTCAAGACATCATGCAAGATCCACAAAGCCTTTACTTTCTATACATAAATATTATAACATAATTCAAATGGCAATGAGATTTTACATAAAATAGCACACAATGTGGATTCTTTTGCCAATTCGTGCAGATTGTGCATCCATTTTTTATTTATTTTTTAATTACTCCAATGAAAATCATCAGGTATTGGGTTTCTATCAAACATTACCTTTCTATCGTAAAGTTGTTTACGATAGTTTATTCAGCAACAGTAAGATAAACCTTTTCTAGGGAAGAGTTTGTATAAAAACAAGAAAATTAAAGGCATAATTAATCAATCAAATACATGTACAGATGTGGAATATGTGTCTGTACAACATAAATACAGTATATCTACGATACAGTTGCTATAACAACAGATCAAATAGCTGCAACTGCGATGGGAGTCGTAAAATTCTGTCTGAGTATTTCAGCATCTGACAAGCCTTCACATTCACAGATCTTTTACTCAAACTGGACTTCCTGGATCCTATTTCATTGTCTCACCAGCACCTAAGGCCCCCAACCACGCAACAGCCTGTGCTGTTTCAACCCAAGGCTGTTGGATTCCTGCCTAATTAGGGGACAGCCACTCTGTCCTTAACAGCATTGGTAACTCGTGACTTTGCAGCTGTTCTCATGCATTCATTCATTTTCTTTAATTTAAACTAAAGGAAAAAGTGTTGATGAGATTAAAAGAGACTTGAAATCTGGTGACCATACCCCATAAGAAAAAAACACAATATTGGCTGAAACATAATATAAGTACACAAATATCTAGTTAAAATGAATTACAGCTATGGGCACAGTTTTCAAAATAATCTGGATAAAGAGAGTAAAAATTGAAAGCAAAAACGTCAACCAGAAGTACAACTTTCAAATCCTCTTAGAGTTGACTTAAATTAATCAATAGTGAACTTAAACCGGGCCGCCGCTTTAGCTCACCTGGTTGAGCTGGTGACCCATGTACAGGGGCTATAGTCCCTGATGCAGCGGCCATGGGTTTGAATCCCGCTCATGGCCCTTTGCTGCAAGTCCTTCCCCCAATCTCTCCTCTCTCACTTTCCTGTCTCTCTAATCTGTCCTGTCTAATAAAGGCAAAAAGGCAAAAAATTTAAAAAAATAAATAAATAGTAAACATAAACTGATTTAATCTGAACTGTTATGCCCATTCCTAACGCACACTTCAACATCAAATTGGAGACGCAGGAAAGTGCTTCACTTTGAACATTAAAAAGAATCTAGACGCAGCTTGCGCAAACATCTAAGTTCAAAGGGAATAACATCAGACAGTCTAAACCTCTCCAACACCACACTTCAAAAGGCTATGAAAACATGTGAAAATGTTTCTAATAGCTGTATATGAATGTGGCAACGTTAACTGGATCCCATTCATTCATCATACTCTAACTTAGCCCCATTATTCAAAAAATGTAGATTAAATACTTTCCTTTTTTTTCTTTTTTTAAACACAATAGTGCTGTAATTTCAAGGAATTCTGGGGAAACCTCTGGGAATACTGTGAGGTAGTAGATCAGCACAAATAACAACACCTCTGTAGGATGCTCCTGCTGGTCCAGTCAGTTCAATCTTTTTATAGCTCTTGCAGTACACACTGCACCGCAGGAGCACTGTTATGATGAAGGAAGAAGTCACATGGTTGTGAGAATCTTTTCAGTAGGAAGGAAGAGCCATAGCCTTGATCACACCGATGCACTGATGGGCCAAGGTCCAAAAGGAACGGGAGTTTCAAGAGTTATTGTTTTCCAAGGTCAAGAAGACACTCGCTCTGGCATTCAGGGACGGAGCATCACGGCTACATTCAGACGTTGACCGCCGGCCTCTCTGTGCCAGCGGTGGTCCAGGTGGTTCCAGCTGTCACTCAGGGGTCATTCAGGATGCTGACAGCAAAAGCAACACCTAATACAATGATGCTATTTATAGTTACGTCCTCTAAGCTCTCCTCTTTAACAGAGAGCGCTCACAGCAGTCGTGGGGGTGGGAGGGGGTGATTACTTGGCATGACAACACAAGATGGGGAATTTGACAATTGAGCTCTGTCATGGTGGCGGTCTGTAAAGCTGCACGCTCCTTTGTTTTCTATGTTGGGTGATGCACAACACTGAACTGTGAAAAACCACAATTCCAGAAAGCTGGCAAGGAAGTGGGCACGGCCTCTGGTGAGTTGCAAATAGAGTGGTGACATGGCAAGAGGAGGGAGATTGCAGCACTTAAAAAGGAGAGGGAGGACAGGAAAATACAGATGCTGTGCTCAGTTTCACCTTGGGAGAAGAAAAATAAACTCCCTAGGGTAGAAAATGGAAGGGAAGCTGGGGAGAGACAGGCTAAGTGTAGAATACAGAACCTAAAATGCCAGGAAAAGCCAGAAAGGGACGTTCACATCAATGTTCTTCTTTTAGCCCTGTGTTATTTCTGTAACTGTCTATTGTATGTCAGGGATTGCTCACTTTTCACATAATGAGACGCACTTTTAACTCCTCGCCTACAATTAGGGAAGAGGAGGGATGTCGACTGCTTAAATAAATGGTGTTAGCCGGAAGAGACGGGGTAATTTAAGGCACACAATATCAAGAAAAAACAAAAGGAAAGCGACAGCTACACAATCCAGCACTACTTAAATAGTAACATTCTGCAGACAGTGTTATCTGGAGTGATTCAGTACACTGCTGGGTAACTAACAAACAAAAAAACAAAAGGCATCAGGCTAAAGGACCAGTGTGTAGAACTTAGAGGGCTCTAGGAGCAGAAGTAGTAGTCATCATCATGAATCCATTAGTGTTTTGTAATCTGAGAATGAGCACTGTACATCTACAGAGGGGGAGTGTCCTCTTCCATGGAGCCACCATGGTGCGCTGCTACATTTCTGCAGTAGCCTAGAATGGATGAATCAAACCTTTAGCTCTAGAGAGGGCCTTCTGGTGAGGTGACACTGTTCACTTGGAAAGTGAGGGGTGAGAGAGGGGCGTTCAGTTGGTAGCAATCTGCAAACTTATCGCTGTATGCCACAACATCCTACACACTGATTTTTAAGGGAAACTAGACATCTGAAGGCAAACTATCTTCTTCATTCACTCATGAGGTGACCATAACTGCAACAGGTACAGACGTGGGTGTCCTTAAATTTAAAGTAAAATAAATAAACAAACTAAAAAACAAAGCTGTGTCAGGCCTTTTGTAAAAGCACTGACTGATAAAAATTCTAACTGTAGTTAAATATGATGTTCTTTCTTGCAACCAAATCTACAACAGAACGAATACAGTAAGCTCTGCTTATTACTGTACTTGAGCTTAAGTAGCTGATGGTCACTAGTAGGGGTCATCTGATTATCACCCGGCCGATTATCAGATCTGACATTCAGCAAGCATCTGATTACCTGTATCGTTTTATTTATATTTTCAAAGCAGCAATGAGCAATGACCTGCTGATGGCATTACCTGAATGGTTAGATGTCATGAGTAATCATATCAACGCTGAAGGATAAATGTATTAAAGAGTTTGTGTTATTCTAGATTTTGACAACAAGAATTTTATTTTTACTGCAAATGTATATTGGTTCCAAATATCTGCTATCAGTCTCCTTGATTACGAATAATAAGTATCAGCTCTCAAAAAACAATATCTGTTCAGCCCCAGTCGCCACTAAGACTAAACAATGAGTTATTTAAAATAAAGTCTCAAGAGAGCTCAGTCCACATACCTTCTGAGGAGGTGGGTCCTCAGTGTGGTTCAACATAAATTCCCTCTCTCGTGCAACAATTATTTCAGGTCCATCCCTGACGCTGCATACCTCAACTTATTTGGAAGCACCTGAAAGCAACTTGTGTTTTTTCTAGAAATATTCTAAAAGATTCCTGTGTTTTTCCGAAATAACTAAAGAAACCTGGAATGCTTATGTGGACAGTAACTGACACCCACCAAACACAGGCACTGAATCCATCCATGACATGAATATATTACTATTCCTTCTGCACAACCATCTCTTTGGCTCCAAACAGTAAACTGTGTAAATCATTACATGGGTCACTGTGTTTGTTTTTGTAGCTTGTGCTGTGTTATAGTTGTGTGTTTTGTACACTGGGACAATGTTGTCTGAAGCTTCATCTAGCCAGCAATCTCACCAGGAACGTTTTAAAATGAGGTAAGTGGAAAGTGGAGGTGGTGAAAGAGTCATGAAAACCCACATAAAAACCTAAAAGCAGGCTTACCCTAAAGTGCTGATAAATCCACTGGTGGAGCCCTCTGCATAAAGGGAACAAATGTCCCCAATATGGAGGAAACTGGACATTTTGTCCGACATGGCCTCTCAGGGTTTACGGCACCTGCAAAAGAGTCACAATACAAGTCATTACAGCATCATAACATATCGCAAATCTTTGGATCTTTATGAATGATGTTACAAGCTGCTCTGAATGAAATGACAAGCTGATTAACTGATCAACACAACATTCAACAATAAGCACTGTGGAAATGCTGTATGCGTCATTAATCAAGTAAAACTAAACATTTGGCTGGTGATGTAGCCAAACAGCAGTGGCTATAATCACCCACATGAACCCTTGTGCCTTTCATGACATTGACTTTGCTACTGCTGCTGGTTTGTGTCCCATTGAGTCCAGACTAGCTGATGCTTTTTTTTCAGCCCATCCTCAGAGCACCACCTGCTGTAAGATCAGCCACAATAGTCCAAAGTTAAAACTGTATATATTAACTCTAGTGAATGCATCTAGTGCATATAGCTGATGTGGCTTCTTTCTTGTAAATTTAAATCTTAGATGAACTACGGGATGAATCATCAGCTTTCCTGTATGACGACTCTGATACCTGTGAGGCAGAATGAAACAATGAAATACACCTGAGAAGAAAGAAAAATAAAGTTTCAGTGTGCTCTGTGCTATAGTTAGCTGGGTGAAACCAATACATCTCAGATTTAGGTCAGCAGTATGTTTCCAGGTTGAGACAATACCAGCCTGTGTGAAGGAAACACCAGTTATAAAGGGCGAAAGTTGACTAAATGCTCTGTTTTCTTTTTAGTTAAGGAGGAAGTTGCTTTGACAAAACCACCTACACTCAGTTTTACTCTTGTTTTATGCTAGGATGTGACACACACACACTGTGTGTAGCAATGTAGCATCACATTATACCACATATAAAGGATAAACATGGGCAGGCTACATATCTGCAACATAAAGGTCATTTCTACCCTGGTTCGGTTGAGCCTCTCTTCTCCACACAGGTACAAACTATCTTTTTTCATGTTTACCCCAATGTCAAGTAATTTCAACGTCTAGTGACACATTTAAACTATTTTTTTCCGGGACTCAAACAAGACGGCTAAACCAAATGTCAAATCTCTTCCTATTTTTTTTCATTCTTCTTTCAATCGCACGCGCTGCAGCAAAAAAAAACAACAGAAACAAATGAGCGCGTGGGCTACTTCCTTGACAGGGATGCTCAGTGACAAAATGAACAAAGCTCGAGCTGAAGAAAAAAAAAAAAACTACACACCAGAATACAAGGACTTTACCTGGCAAGGAATGAAAGAAGGCGTCAAAAGACACACGCAGAGAGACGGAAACGCGTGAAGAAGTGGGTCAGCACAGGATAATTTCCACAGCGCTATCCTCGGTTAAGTCCATGGCAGTGAAACTCCAGGTAAGAGCAGCCTGAGCGGCGTTATCTCTGACAGCTGAATGCGTCCTCGGCAACAATCCTCTTCTTACCTCCTCCACATGTCACCGCGGGAACGCCCATTTCGTTACTATTTATACTGCAGCACGGCCCTCTGGGTAATGTAGTTCTGTTTTGGCATCAAACCCAATGTTCTTATTTACAGAAGAGGTAATAGGAGGCCTTATCAGAATATATACAATAATTATGTTAATTATATGTGCCTTAATGCAACAAAGAGAGAACACATATATGTAGTAAAATATAATAAATGTCCTACTTATTTGCCAGTAGTTTTTAAAATCGTAAAAAATAGTTTAATAGCATTTTGCATTTTTTAAAATTATTTTATAGTAGCGGACACTGATCAGTAAATGTAATGAAAAGTGTATGCAATTATTATATGTAATTATAATATAATATAAATACTATTTATACTGTAATTTATTGCTGTCCTCATATTCATTCATCTGTCTTTATATTGTTTTTTTTAACTTGCACATTCCTATCACCTACAGCTTATTCTACTTATATCCTTAGCATGTTCATATCACTCTTCATCCTGTTAATGCTGTATCATACTGTATACATCCCTATTCCAGATGCTACTCATACATCTGGGTTATTCATATGTCTTGCACACTTGCATGCACAGTTAATGCTGTTCATGCTGTGTACATCTTAGCACATTCAAGCTGCCCTTAAAGCCATCACTTTTTAGATTTCACTGTTTCTTTTGCACCTCTGGTTAGATGCTAACCTGCATTTTGTTGTCGTGCAACTTGCACTCTGCACAAGGACAATAAAGTTGAATCTAATCTAATCTCCTCTTATGAATGAATAACATGTTGTGGACTGTGGTAAACGTGTTTCATGAGTGATCAACTCCATGTGGCTGAAGGTTTGTGTCATTGTCTGCATTATTTCACGTATGTAATGTCAAAAACAGAAGCACACACACTGCCTTACAAACAGGGGGGTCGTGCTGTGCATGTCAAAGCGTGAAAGGACTTGAGATAAAGACATCAGTTGTGTGGGCAGCGTCCTGTCAGAAACACTGATCTGGTCAGTAGCAGTCAGATTCCTGGGTTTGCAATGTTGTTTTTATTTTACAAAAAGCCTTTTGTCACATTTTACAGTCCATGCACCATGCTCATTCACATGGAGATGATGTTGCTTTTACACCACCAGGTTTCTAAATTTGTAAACTTCAGAAGCCTCAATCTCACAACTTTGAGTGATCTGGTTTATTTGCAGTTGACCCAATAAAATTACAGAGTGACATTTTCAGCTACTAGAACTGGAACAGACTCTTACGTATGTTGAATTCACAAATACCCCACCATTTAAATGTTAGAAAAAAGTGTAGGAGGGCACTCCCCACAGTGATCCTAGTAATTCTTCCAAAACAGTGAGGAAGCCTGCATGCAGTAGATGGTTACATTTGAAAATGTTTAAAAGCTTGATTATCCATATTTATTCCTGATTTCAATATGAATGAGGGACAGAGAGGCACATGGAGCGAAAGAGCACTTTCATCCCTAAATGGGGCCCAGTGGCACCGAGCAAACCCATCAATTAGCTTGTAATTTGGTTTCTTAGCTGCAGGATCGGCATAGATAGTAAGAGTGGCGTAAGTGGGGGGAGATAAGTGTCCATTACCATGAAAGAGCTTCTTTTCTTTTTCTGCATTCCACATCTGTTTTTCACTATACACATTCAGATCTTTGAGATGTAAATGTCTGCAGATTGCTATGTTGTAGAGCACTGTTAGGCCCTCCCCCCAAAAAAACTTGAGCAATAAAACCCAACAAAAAACAAGCTGTGATTCATGTTTTAATGCCCTGCATTCCTGGTGTTGACATAAAACACAGGGCTGCCATGATGCAGAGGAAAAACACTTATTATGCATGTAACGCCACTTTCTGCGCTGTCAGACACTCTTCTCTCTAACTGGTTGTGCAATTTGTCGTCATCGTTGAATTATAAAACAAATTACATCAAAAGTACATTCAAAGCCACTTATGTAAAAACAGACAGTGCAGCTGCCTTTGTTAAAGGAAGGACGAAGACGGGTTCCTGGCTCCGAGCATCATCGTCTGTGTGTCTGAATGTGATGATGTCAAATTCATGACATCACAGCATCTTAAAGATTACCCTTCTCTCCACTGGAAGTATTAACAGGCTTCGGTTAAATTTGACATTAAGTGAAGTTGAATACGAATCACTGAGTACTCAGTTGTCATGGATACAGTGTACAGACGACTGGCTACCATTCTACCAGCGAGAGAGAGAAAAAAAAAAGGGTTATAAATATAAAACTGGACACAACTGCTGCCGTGTTTGTGAATTGCAGCAAGTCGGATGTCGGAAATGGTTTGATTTTGTAGCTTGGCGAGCATAAATGTGTTTATTCTCTGGGTAGTTTGGTCACCGTTTTATTTTAGTACCCTGCTTTCACCTGAAGAGCTCCTCTGCTGCCAGAAGGCTTTTTCCCCACACGATGCATCAGCACCACAGAACCCGGTGGTATAGATAGACATGAGTCGCGATGGGTGTGGAGATAAATTGATTTCTCGTGTATCGCAGGGGTCATGAACAAGAGCACAAGTTAGGTGGGAGGGAGAGGTGATGCATCTCGACTGGTAGTCTGACTTGCAGCTGACGTGGAAACGCTCGGCTGCTTTTTCCAACTGAATTTACAAATGACTAACAAATTAACGAACACAACATCTGCATGCTTGGAATGCACCGGAGACAGTGGGATGACAAAATGCAGCGACCATCTGTGTGGGAGCACAGATTGTGAGATTCATCATTGTGCATGTGTTACAGCGAGTATTCTCATGTGCAGTTTCAGGCCTTCCCTTAGCAGCGATGTGTGGGCACAATGGTTGGTAGTTCGCTTGTCTGAGGCGCAGATAGTCCTCTGTGTGGGCCAGGCCTGCGAAACTGAGCCTCACATTCATCCCAAATGTCAAAGTAGAGCAAAATGTATTGATTTCATGTGAGAGATTAAGTTCCAAAGTCCAAAACAAGTCTAGTCTTGTTACAGGGGTGGGTGAAGGTCTCTTTAAACCTATAACTCTCGAACTTCTGTTGTTGGATCTGGGACAGCAAACCACTGAGGACATGATGCCACTGGGAGCGAGAACCATAGATAATGGCTTATTAGCAATTTCAAGTTAAATGTAGAATACTGATAGAACTTCTTTCAACTTCACATCCGTCGTGTATATTCTGACAGATTTTGCTACGTAAACTGTTAGTGGATTCGTGAGTCACGGCTTTTTCTCGAGATCTGCACGCACAACTGGAGGACAGGACGACACGGTGTGAACAAAACGTGGCATTAAAAAAAACACACACACACACTTTGCCGTGACTAACTGAGCGCAGGATCTTCTGGCGTAGTGTGAAAAAGAAACAACATTCCTCTCGCCGCCTCTCAGCCTTTTTTCAGTCGGTGACGTGTACAGACAGCGAATGACATCACACCCGCGTCGAGTCGAGTCCGTTTCAAAGATCACACACACAAAACCAGACAAGCGGATCGCCGCACAGTTGTCCGCCCCCCTCCTCATAAACTTTGCATGAGAGCCGGTTGTTCAAAGAAGCCACTGAGCAAGCAGCTGGACAGGAGAGCATTGGCTGAGCCACTGTGCATGAGATAAGACTGTTTTATAACCTTGCAGCTTTTTAGATTATTCATGTCAAAGCTGCCTCCCTGCAAAAACAGAGATCCCACTTATTTTTCTTGCCTGCAAGACAACAGGTATTGGTACGGCACCCTAGCATAAGGAAGAGATGTACCTCACTAAAAATAAAAGACAATTATGCTGGTATAATGGCCTGCATATCCCCAACGGAAATAGTCTGATTAGACCAGCTGCAGAGATATTCTAATTAGGCCTTGCGATTTTGTCGTATAACTCGTTTCCAACGTAGGAAAAATAAGTTTCGCATTTCACATCTATATTCAATACATACTATAAGCTTGCGTACATAAAAAAAGAGGGTTTTATGGTGATATTTGGTGTGCATATTTTCTGGTTGTTTTTTATGCAGAAATGCTCAAATAGCCAGCTACATTCGGCTAATCTCCTCTTCATAAACACCGTGCACAGAGCAGAGGATCACTTCACCACATCCCCTTGGTTACAGTCTAATCTATACGACAGACTGTATACATATGCCAGGGGGAATTGTCTGCCAGGTGTCTGATTTGCGCAGACAGACGCGAGTATATTTTTGCATGCTGGTTGCTTCCCCGAGACATTTTTGAGTTAAATCCGCTGAAGGGAAACAACGTCCAAGCAGGCAGTGGTCTGAAGTCACCTATTTAACCTGCATAACATGTTCTGTAAGCTGCTTTAACCGCAGGTAATCCGGGATCAGTAGGACGGGAGGATTTCTCGCCTCACTTTCATTGCATGTCATAAACTAGCTGACCTGGCTACCTAAACCCGTCTGCGTGGATGCGACGAATGTGCTCTGGCATAGAGCCATGGGTTGTTAGATTACAATTAGTGGACTATATTTGCACATTTAATTATGAAGCACTAAATGTAGCTGCACTGTTGACATTGAAAGAGTAATATTACAATGACTAACACAGAACCTTGGTTAGATAAAGGTAGACTGCTTACGGGGTCTGAGCTACTATTTGTCAGTACACTGTTTAAAAAAATCCTCAAGTATAAGCTCGCACATGATTAGTTTCAGTCTGACAATAGAGTGGAACACTTCTACTGACTACATGCCCAACCAATCGTGCAGACTGCATGGGCTCATTCACTGTAAGATTGGGTCCTTGTGTAAGATTGTGATTGCCGTGGAAAGTGATTAAATCAAGGAAAGTCTTGGCTTTGCGAGAGGTTTATGGTAAAATTCACCACATTCTTCAGAAAATAATAGCTTACATTCATGCTTACCAGAGTTTCCCCTTTGATTTAAATCTTACAAATAATGCTTCCCCTGAAACATAAATGTAGACACTCCAAAAAAAGTGCTTAGTTAGGAATTTGCCTGCTGTAAAACACAGTGTAAATGTAGTAAAGACACATATGCATGTGCAGCTCTGATCGTTGTTGTGAGCAGCTGCGGAGGCGGGTGCTTTTTGGGCACCAGAACTTCCTGCTGTGGCTGCTGCAGGTGTCTTGGGCCAAATTTAACTGAACATCTGTGATGGGAGGAGCAAGTGTGAAATACTTCTCTAACCACCTTCCCCATTAAACAGACATTACATCAGAACAAGACGTATTATAGAAACAGATCCAGTGCGAAGAGTATGTGGAGGCCATGTTAAAGCCACGTGCTGTTGAATCAGTGGATTTCTCATCAGTCGAACAAAAGCGAGAACAGATTTCAACTTGCATGACGGCATGTGGCTCAAACAGTGGTTTCGTACATTTACAAAGGTCGTTATTGAAGATCTGAGTAATGAGGTTTTACACATTCTGCGACAAGACGAGATAGCAGCGTACCGATACTGATTGTTGTCATATCAAACCCTTTAAGACATTGTTCCTGCCAAGAGTCTGCTCCTCAGACCAGCCGACGTCACAACAGAGCCAAGAGTGCAAAGAAATGTTTCAAATTGGACTTTCAAATGCCTTTGCCAGCTGAGATCCTGCACATAGCTGCCATGTTTTTCTTTCTTTTTTTTCCCCATGATTTGGCTGCAGGATTCAAGGCAAGGACATCTGCTCCCTCATCAGAGAGGTGCTCCAGTTTTGTACAAATGGACTGCCAGTTGTAATGTCTCCGCTGGTCACTCACCCCGAAATAGTGCCTTTATCAATGTGATTCATGGTTCTCACAAGCATCAAGGTGTATCTTATCGTTTGTCCTTTCAAGCTCCACTTGGCAAGGCGTTTAGGTACCGGTCTTATTAGCCTAAATCAAATTGGGGCTGCAAAGAAGGGCAGTGTGCAATGTTAATAACGTACCCTATTTATAAGAATCAAAATCCCTTCTTAAAGGGAGACGGTAACTTTGGCTGCAGCCACAAGTGTCAGTTATAGAATGACAGCACATTGTTTTCCCTTCAGTTTTAGGGTTATTTAAGGAGCTAACAGACACTATTCACTTTAACAAGAAACAGACAACCTGTCAAACACATTTTGTATCATGAATGAGTTGGGAATTTACAGTGCAGTCTGGCACGTTAATACCCCATAAAAAAAGCAAATTTAGGATTAAACAAAAATACAGGATTTCTTCAATATATAGGGAATTATGCTGTATATAAAATATAAAATTTGCTTTAGAGGGGCTGGTAGGTGGTTAAGTCACCTCTGCTGTTTCCCTGCTTTCCCTGGTTGGGATCATTTTCAATAGACGGATATATAAATACATAATATACATAAAAAATGCAAATACATTCACTTCCAAAATGCTGAAGCATTGCTAAGGACATCATCATTCTGAGAGGAAGTATGTACACCCCCTCAGCAGTTTAGTTTTCTATTGTTTAACCAGGTTTTCTATTGTTTAACCAGGATTTTATATATAAAACAAAGTTCACATTTGTTTAGAGGCAATCAGTCAAGTCGTCAGGAAACTAAATTTAAAAAAAAAGAATGAGTCCATGTGCACGCGAACCCCAAGCTGCATTGATCCAATCAGGAATGTAATAAGGTCAGGTTGGACATAATTGGGTGCTTAATTCATCGATGAAACAGCCCAATCAAATGAGAGCTCTTTAGGAAAGAGTTGGAGCAGCACTGATTAAAACAGAGAAGAAACCAGGTCTTACCAAAGCGCATCCATACAGGTGGGCCATGCAGAGAGAGGACGTCAGGAAGAAAGGTAGCGAGAACACATCAGTGTGGGGAAAACTGTAAAATCATCTCCTAAAGAGCTGAGTGCCATCCACTGTGAGGCAAACGGGAGGGCAATATGACCACTAAAATACCAAGAAACAGTACAAATCAGGTAAGAGCCAAGCCAAACTAAACATCTAGAGATTTGCAGACCTGTCTTCCTGCATGTAGGAGACATGTGCATGCTTCAATCAGAAACCTTTCCAAGTGAGCATCTGGACAAACCCAAAGCCAAATTCTGTGGACAGACGACTCCAAATTTGAACTGCTTGGTCACAATCAAAGCCGCCATGTTTGGTGAGAAGCCATCATAGCACCAAAAGACTCTTCTCCTGGCAGTAAAGCATAGCGGTGGGAAAAATCTGGACCTGTTTTTCTTCCTCAGGATCTGGACAACTCCACATCATTCTGAGACCAATGAAGGAATTCTTCATGCAGAGCCAAAAATGTGTCAAATAATACAATAATTACCTAAAAAGCATCCCAGCAAAACAACCAAGCAATGCTGAAAGGCCAACTGCTTTGGCCAAGTCTGAGTTGGGACCTGAATCAAGAGGTTCATGCCACAAACTGCTCCAACTTCGCTCAACTGACTGAGTTCTGCAACGATTTGGCAAGAATCCCCAAAAGAAAATGCCAACAGCTGATTAGTGGCTATAGAAGATGTTTGACTGAAACAGCTGCTGCTAACAGAAGTAACACAAGCTACTGACTGACTGACTGAAGGACTTCTGCAAGTGTGAAGTAAATAAATCTAAAACAATATGTTAAAAATCACATTTTTTACTGTGTTCATGGCTTAAAATTTCTGTTTTCAGTACTTTTAATAAGGTTATTTTAATATTTTTGTAAAAATAATGACTACATCTTTAGGGTCCATAATCCTTTAAGGAGCATTGTGTTTACCTTTTGTGATAAGTTACAGAATATTTACCAAGACTAGCGGGCAGTGGCGAGGTTTAAGAACTGGTTGATTTAATTTAAACTAAGGTTAGGGTTGACCAAAACCCGGTGACGTCTGTCTCAAGCGGGTTGCGGTGTGATCACTCTGCTATGAAACATCACACGCTACAACATCTTCTGTTTATTCCGATTGTTCAAACACTTTGTTCCGAGTATTGATTCAAGCTCCTGCACAAACAACAAATAGAACTCAACCACTACCAAACACTGAAGGCAATCTATTTCCCTTCACAGCGTTATTTTTGAAATGCAAGACACACAGACTGCTGCCAACTCTAAAAATACCCAACATGATACAGCAGCCTCCTGCATTGTAAAGCATCCTTCGTGAGGTTTGTTTTTCTGTGTGTGATGGTAGTGTTGGGGAGAGGAGGGGAGGGGGGGGTTCGGTGGGGAAGTTCACCTCATGTGATTAACTGCTGGTTGCTAGGTGACAATCCTGGAAAGGAGCCATTCATTCGCAGCCCGGCTCAGCTTCAGCAGCCGGGATTTGAGATCAGCCGTCATGCACCCCTGAACCAACCGCTGCCGTCCAAATCACCTCCTGTACACACAGCCGGTTGCCATAGGGATCTCAGGGACATCTGACTCAAAAACGACATGAGTCATGAATTTGAAGAAAGGCCGTTTTTGTCCGTTACACTCGCAGTAAATTTGTTGAATGGGCAGCGGAATCTCATTTATCAAATCAATAGAATCTAGAGGTAAAATACCGCGGCGCTGCACGGGGAGGTTGGCCCACGATGGACAAACCCAGATGCACAGCTTCCCATTCGTTTCTGTCCTTTGTTTGACAAATGCATGGGCAGTTTTTTTTTCTGTATAATCTTTGTCCCAGTTCTCTCCAAGGCCACAGACAGGGCTAGCATCCAGCCACGTTTTCCCACAGGGCTGAACAGTAGTTCTGAGGATGTACTGTTTATCATTATCCATTATATAAAAACTGCATACTTCTATACCTATTCTTCTATTCAAGTCAGAATAAGGATGTATTATACATCTTTCATATTCCAGTTCACTTCAGTTTGTCATCGGCTGCTAGGTGTTTTAGTAATAATACGGTTTTTCCTGCATAGAGAAGTTTTTAGCACTACCATCCCCAAAATGTTGGGAAGTTAGAATTTTAAAAAAATAAATAAAAATGTTTTATTGAACCCATGTGGTTCATTGAGGTTTGTGTTTCTCAAGCTAAATTTACATTTTGGTCCAGCAAACAATCCCAAATAATCACCCAACGATGCATAGATTTCTGTCACAAAACATTTATGATGTGCAGGCTGATCACGCTCACAGTTGGACACGCTTATCCCCCCAAAAGACCCATTCTGAGCCAGGAAAAGCCCACCATGTAGCTCAGTAAAGGTGCTCTAAAGGTAGTTTTGTAACCTTTGAACAGACACACACAAGCTGTTTTACCTTCATTTCAGCCTACATGATGCTAATTGTTTGCTGGGGCTACTTCGTATTCACATTGCACACAAGAGAAGATATGGATCTTCTCATTTAACCCTTTTAAAGAAAGTTAATAAAAGCTTTTACCAAAATTTAAAACTATTCCTTTATGGTTTATAAATCCTGAATGTGGATCAAACGAGGTGCAAAGAACAGCCCATTCTGAGCAGAAAGAATCTCAGGTAACCCTCACAGAGGAGAAAATATAGGTCGATACAACACTTGCCTGTCCAATGGGTGACACAAAAAAACCAATCAACTTGACAGCCGTCTCCGATCAGCAGGAGGCTTCCTCCCCCCCCTCCCATCCCCACCACCATTTAGTCTCTCTCAGCCCCAGTGTGGCTGGAGCACTGGTCCCATTTCTGGATGAAACATGGTCTCCATCCTAATTAACCCAGATGTGGATATTAATAAGATGAAAGCAGGTCTAGACTGGAAACGGGGCAGATTGAGAGGAGAAGGTCCTGATTTCAGAATGGTCACGCTAAAGTGGGACACCTTCGCCCCTCCTTTGACAGGGGAATAAAGTCTGTTTCTATATAAACTATACCCCTTGGCCCTTTTTAATTGGTCCCACCTCTCTTGAGGGCTTGAGTGCGATGAGAAGCCGAGAATATCTAGAAGGGGAGGCCGCATTGCACGACAACAACAAAGAAATGTCAAGCTGACGGAGACGTGACAGGCTATTACTTTCTATGTGAGTTTTCCTTTTTCCAGTGACATCGAATCTTCCCTTGCACTGAGCTTTAGCAACTGTAAGGGTGCAAAAAAAACTGTTTTGTCCTACGTGGCTATTAAAAGAAACCTATTAAACATCATTCCTTTCACATCTGCCGGTGCAAATGGTTTTCCTTCTGCTTCCAGATTCATGTGTGATGTGACAAATGGGACTTAAGTGTGCCAGGACAAGATGATGGGTGTAAATCCGCTGGGACACGTCCTACACCGAACAGATAGGAATGTCAACAAGTTCCCCCGAAAAATAAAAACTTGTTACTCTGCTTTTCATTGCATCATCTTACAGCGAGTGGGAGACGGCATTAGGACAGTGGCAGATCAAGAGACACTCGGGGGACTAAACAGGAAACAATGACGAGCGCAGACATGACTCATGCAGCTAATTGTGCTCATGGAGCCACCAACGTGTTGCATTGTGTTGTTCTAATGAGCGGCTGAATTAACCACGATTTCAAGGAAACTGAAAATAAACCAGCAGATAACTGAATAAAGAAAATTCGCAGGAAAGGCATCAGGCTTGAGAGAAACGACTCCATTGCTTAACATTCGGATGAAAACAAACATAAAGTGGAGTTCATTTTAGATCATCTTCAGCTGAGAATAGATAAATCAAGAGGCAGGAAGCGTGTGCACTTATTGGCACCACAGTGACATGCTTTCCTCTGGAGACCATCTGTCCTACTGGCCTGCACGGCCGACTCGCTTTGCGTGGACAGCAGTTCTACAGGATTCTGGTCAGTGTATCCTCCTGAATAGTCGAATGTCAACTCCTCTTGAGCATCAATGTCCCGTCCAGCGAACAGCGCCAGTCGAGGGATTACGGAGTGCGCGCGTACTGGCAACATGAACAGGTTGGGCAGGCAGGAGTGGTTGAGGAAGCGTCCTACGTTTCCCACCTGAGCAGGGTCCACAAACGTCTCAGTGATGGAGCCTGTACCTGCATGCTCCCTTACTGCAATTATGTAATTATTTTCTTCAGATCTCTGGGCAAGTTGTCTGCGTCTGGCCTCTCCAAAGCTGATCACCTCCCCTGCATACTCGCACACAAATGTCCCACGTGGGATTTCCTCCAGTGTGCGAACTCCCCAGCCCCTGTTGCGAGTGCCGAAGACCTCCAACCTGAGCTGCAGGCCTCTCTGCACCACCCGGTTAGAGCAGGCGTCACTGCAGGTGCAGAGGGCATTACACTCAAACGCAGGTGAGCAGTAACCAGAGTCTGTTCTGGTGAGTTCCAGCAGCGTGCCGGTGCTGCTGTATGCCCGACCGTGAGTCTGCAGGCAGGAGCAGCTCTCAGTGAAGCAGGAGTGTGAACGGCAGGAGCATCCGGGCACGGTGACTTCACTGGGGTCAACGGTGCATCCTGGTCCCTGGACGTTATCTGGGGAATACTGAAAAATGACACAAAATTATAACTAAACTGTGCCACTTCAAAAGAAACTGATTGATTTAAATGCAACAATTTTTGATAATTGATTAATCAACTCTGCCATTTTCTTCTAGAAAAAGTCAAACATTCACTGATTCCAGCTTTTTGTTTGTGAGGTTTTAGAGCTTTTTAAAATTTTATAGAATTATAAATACAGTATATTTGGGACAAAACAAGACATCTGAAGACGTCACGTAGAGCTGTCACAAGTTTTGACAGGCAAACTGATGAACTAATTAAATATAAATAAATATAAATAAATTGGCAATCAAAATAATCAGTAGCAGCAGCAGCAGCAGCTCTAATTCAGACTGATTTAAATCTGATGGAATACTTCTAACAGAGCACAGGGTTGAGTGCTTTTCACTCGAATACCTAAAACTCATCAACCTACATGAGCTAGTTTCATCACAATCAGCGATGTCATGAATTACACGTTCTAGACATTCGTTTAAAATTGTTTGCACGATATCACGGTCAAGAAAAGTCCTCTACAGCATCGCGGGAAATGACTGTAAAGTAGGACAACTCCTTTGGTCCTGGAGAGGCAGCTATTTTTTGATTCCCTGCACTGCAGGCAGATGATGTGGTTGTGATGACTTGCTGCTATCTGCTGGAAAAACGATGTATTTCTTTTGACAAAGGCGAGAACTACAAGCCAGAAGTTTACTGGATTGCATTCTTAATTGTAGAACTTTTGGATTAATCCTTCAAAACAGCAATACAAATATACTGCAATATGAGTTTAACTATTACCCTGATTTCTTCCTTTCTTTCTTTTTTAATTACATTTTCTCAAAACATTTCTATTGAGTCTTGCGTTGCAGTGAATTTGACATGATTAAAGATAAGGCATATGCGGCAGCTTGCATTGTGTTACTGCAATATTGTGAAACTAAATTTAGAGGGAAAATCACAAACTTAACATTCTCCCTTTAACATGAGTGTTCTCCAAAGTTTGAGGAGCACGTCTCATGTGGATTTGACATAATATCAGAATCCTGTCACAGTTTGTGTTCCTCACAACTTTTGGATTACTTATGAGAGCTTGACTATTAGATTTGATAGCACAACCTCCTACTGGATATGTTGGTATCTCTGCATATGTTGGATGATAAATAACAAGAAATTGCAGTACAGAAATGTGAAAGACAGACATTACAAGTTGGAAGGGAATTTCATTGATTATCTCTCTAAAATGGTACCTGTCAAAGGGTGTGACATATTAATTAGTAAAGGAACAGTCAGTTCTTCAAGCTGAAGTGAAAGCAGGAAAAACGAGTAACTGGAAGGATCAGGCAGACTTTGACTGAATTGTGATGTATTGGCAGCTGGGTCAGAGTATGTTGTCCCAGTATGATGTGGTCGTACCTCCCAGAAACTGTCCAAGGAAAGACAAAAAGTGAACAGTGCACAGTTCCCATGCTGACCTCTGTCCATCAATGAATGTGCACATAATGGGAATGAATGGCAGAGGGTGGCCTGGTCTAAAATCACGTAGACAGCTGGGTGGGTGTGCAATGATTATTTGGGCAGGGATAGCAGCAGAACACACTGTGGGAAGAAGGCAAGCTGGCAGAGGGAGCGTGATGCCCTGGGCAATGTTCAGCTGGGAAACCGTGGGTCCTGGCATTCCTTTAGAGGTCACTACACTCTACACTCCATCATGGCAAAGATGTTTCCTAATGACAGTCACCCCTTTAGCAGGATAATGCAGCCTGACACACTGTAAAAATTGTTGACAAATGGTTTGAGGAACTAAGAATTTAAGGTGTTGATTTGACGTCCAAATTCCCACGATGTCAATCAGATTGGCATCTGTCATTGCTGCATAACAAGTCAGATAAATTTAAAACATTTTACTATGCATTGTACCATGTACAACTGTGTATGTAACGAACAAAATTGATTTGATTCGATAGATTCTTCCTCTCGCATGTCCCAGGACTTGCTAATGTCTGAAAACATAAGATGTCTTGATGAGTCCAGACCTCCATTGGTCTAATTTGGCAGCACAAAGTGGTTTTATTGTTGTGGCACATCTATCATGGATTTATTCTTTAAAACAAACAAGCTGTTGATTGGTCAGTCCATATATCGTTCTAGTCTTTTTTAAAAAACCTCATTAGCATCAAAAGTGCACTCTACCATTGCATTAGCATGTCAGATCAAAATGATATAAAGGGACAAGACACTGGTGACCCGCAGCATCAGAAAGCAACTCTTTGGATGCATCTACTGTATGTCCATCTATTCTTACAGTGCACAAAGAAAAGGCAGAGAAGAGTCAGGATTTAAAGCCTATTCCTACTGCAAGTCATGTCTGACCGGTGGACTGAAACTAAATATAGCCTGTTATGTATTGCTGATATGTACAAATGAGAAGAGGTAACACTAATGGTTTAAAGGAAGAGGCTTTTAACACAACTGCAGGGTGACAAAGCAGCGACGTAAATAATGAGGACTTTATGTCATGTGCATGTAAGCTCTCAGTGATGTAGTTTAGTAACTAATGTTAGCATCTGTGCTTTTGTCAGAATAGCAAGTATATCCTATAAGAAAGTCATTTTTAACTCGCAGAATATATCTAATTGAGATATTAGGTCGCCTATAGATATACAACAGCAATTAATTGTAAATAAGCAACAAACCAGCGAACACAACATAGAGGGGACGTTAATGTTGCTAAAATATCTGACTAGTTAGCTTAAATGTGCTCAGCTACAGTTAGCCACGAGCTAAAGCAACGCTACCTGAAATGTAGGAAGTGTCAGCCCTGTAAATAAAACAGGAACATCCTCCAAGCCGCTGCTTAAATCCACCGCATGTCTGTCAGACACATTCATGCCTGAAGTTTCTGATAAAACAGCGCCGGAGTAGCAAGAAACGACAACAAAGTCTCCCACAGAGAAGCAGCAACTTCCGCTTGTTTCATTAGCAGTTACCGCCCCCTAGTGGCGCCTTTCAGTCATTACATGTGCTGCAGGTTTCACCATCTGGCTGCTTCAACAGTGTGAACATCTTATTTTACACACAAAGAGCAGATGAATTCTGATACTATTGCTATTATTTCAGGTTATTCTGATTTTTGCCCTGAGCATCCATATTCAACACCATATGAAACCACACACTGGATGCCATTTTTGGCACAGCGAAGGAGACAGAAAGGAGGGTGAAGAAATATAAATGAAAAGTAAAACACATGCATCTTCCCATTAAAGACTGTACCAGCATGTTTGCAAGAGGCTTTCTGTCTATTGTCAGGCTACACTGTAAAAATAAAGTTTTTGAACATTTTTGAATGCTTTTTTAAATTTAATTTTACAATTTACTGTGATGTTAGAGATTTTTTTTTCTCTTTTGTTAAATTACAGATAAAACAAAAGCATGCATTGAACACATTTTAGTTTTAGCTCCTACGTATGTCAGGTTATACAACTTCTCCCACTGTACATTTTTACATTTCAGACGTTTTTCTTCAAGGCAAACCCATCACAGTGTACATTGTTGAACACTGTATGTATTAAGACATTATGTCTTCATTGACAATTTTGCACACATTTGAACATCACATTTCACAAACACCTTCAAACCTCATCCTGAGTTGTTAGCAAGATTCAGTACTTCTGTTACGTTCAGTGTTAGATGTAGGATCTTACCTGTGATTGTAGCTGCTGAAAGAATGCACTTTCCTGCAAATGATCAATGAATCAATTCTCTATCTCACAATATCCACCCTGAAGCTGAAGCACTGAACCCTCACATGGTTTACTGATGTTGCAGCAGTAGCACTGAAGTGTTTGAGTTCATGAGGACTTCAAATGGTGCGAAAAGAAGACAGTAAACACGTTATCATGACAGTGAATTTGGATTCTTGTTTTAATTCACAGTCTTGAACCCTTATGGCATTACAATGTTTATAGATTTTAGCAAACTACCAAAAGTAGGAAAGCTGACCATTTGTATCCTTTGGGAACCCTTGACAGAAAATTCAAACAGCTCTATAAATGTGCAATACCTAACCACAACAGTGAGTATAGATGTTGTCACTATTGGATTTACCATCCATGCTTGGTTTGTGTACGTCTTATAGAAAGCACGACAACCACATATGTCACCAATTTCACTTTGAAATTTAAGCCCAAGTCCCTCAGGAAACATGCCAACTCACAAAAAGGGCACAAAATAGTGTCAGATCCTGGCTTTGAGGTACTAGAGGGGAGATTGGGAGCCTGTGTGGTTGAATGTGGGATGGTTGAAAATGCATCTGTATGGAAACAACGGCCACAGAGAAACGGTTCTACTGAGAAGTTCTGCCTGAAAAATGGAAGTCACTGGGTGTAAGTCAGGTTCTATGAGATTGTTGTTGTCCTCTAATGTCCTTGAATGTGTGGGTTGGCCAGAGGAGTGGCCATACTTTAGTTATTATGTCTGAGTCTATGGTCCATACCCAGGACAAACTGGGCAAGAGTTCCTCAAGAAAATAACACAGCACTGACACAACGCGAGATTCTTATTTTACCTAAATTACTGTGAAGGTGAAACTGGAGACATGATTTTCTTTATGCCGTACATCTCCTTGTTAATCATCTCCAGTAGCCCACAACTGTCCAAAGTACTTCCAGTAGTAAAGTCATACGGCCTGCAGATGGCAGAGCTTCACAAGTATTCCTCTCTTGAATCCACAACTCCAGCAGAGTCAGCAAGACAAATGAAAACACACGGGCTTGATGACTAATAGGAATCATCTGAAACCCACACCAAACACTATAAACTGCACTTAACTTGAACTTTTTCTGTTTTGCACCCTGAATAACTTTCAAAACACACTAAAGCCTACTGATTTTTGTCTCACTGGGAGAGTTCAAAGCTCTGATCAAAAGATGTATAACTGAATCCTATTGCTATTCCTAAGCTGGATGTTGTTTTCTGTACATCACTCCCTTAGTTGTTTTAGTTTTTCTTACATCAGCTGTTGTAATGCTTGTTTTTAGTATCTTTGGTTACTTTATAATGGTGTGCCTTTTTGGCCGGGTCTGCCTTGAAAAATTGGATTTAAATCTCAAGGGACTTCATGGTTAAACAAAGGCTAAATAAAATAATGTGCTTTATGGGCTGTAACCGAAGGCTTTCTTTTGTGACGAAGCCCTTTGTTACACTCTTCATCTGTCGCTCTCTTCATCAAGATGGAGCCAGTTAAATGCAAAGAAAGCATTCTGAATGTCCACATGATCGAACAAAAACGAAAACATGGCCTTTGGGTTCCCAGATAAACAGATCAGTGAATGTATGATTATTTTGTTGGAATGTCACTCTTTTTTCACAGTAGTAAACTGCATAGAGTTTCCCTGCCTAACCTTTCTGTGCTGCTACATTGTCGTCATGTGCAATTGATATGCGGTGGTTTATTCTGTGGTGGCTATCAGAGGCAGATGGGGGGAGGTCACATTGTCAGCTGGCATTTCCACGCCGCACACAAGTGACCGAGGATTTTTCCTTTGAGAATCGGCCTTCATCTTTGTCCTTGGGCGAAATTAGCGCTGTCAGTTGTTAGTCCTGCATCTACAGCAGACTTCAGATTGCATACTGGATCACAAGCTGGAATACTGGATCAAGAGTATTTGACAGTAAACTGATCGACAGATTGATTGATATGACAGCAACACAGAGCAATGATGAGAAGCATTGTTTGTCTTTTTTTTTTAAAATTACGAATGAATTGATATTGTATTAATAATAACACATTACAGAAATTTGTGCAGACAGCCAAATTCAGTTTATTTTATCAGATGACATTACAAAGACAAAATAAGAATTAATAGTAAATACAAGGCTACAGCAGAGGCCGATGGGACCAAACAAAAATTTTGCAGTTATTTGTATTCAAATATTAAAACGGCTTTATTTCCATTTGCACAAGAACCGTGTACACAGGAATTCTTCTACTCAGTCCGGCTAAAGAAAAGAAAATAACAATAGGAGAAAAAGGTATAAAAAAGTAAGAAGGTTTTGAACAAATGAAAAATCTGAACTCACTGTGGCACTAAATGAAAAGTCTGGAGATCAATAAGGTTATTGCCGTTCATCCTAAGGAGGACATGAATGTATTACCACATTACTTTTTAGGATCTTTCACTTGAACTTTACAGTGATCAAACGTAAAAGTCAAGAAGTCTGACTCATAAGGATGCATCATCAGGGAACCATGAATATCTCTTACTGAAATATTTGTCCATCCATCTTAAAAATATTGAGATGTTTTATAGGATAGTAAAAAAACATCACAAAAAAACTCTTGACTCTCTGGAGGTATTGAATCCAGGAGAGCACAGAAGTCATTAGGATTCATCCTCTGAGGTCCATGAGTGTCTAATGATGCATGCCTATTCCAGCTATTTTAAAGCTACTTCAGCCTGGATTAAAATGGTTGATGGACCAACCACAACCCTAAAGGCTTTTGCTGCAATTCCTACGCAAGCAAGGCTAAAAATACCACTGGTTTAATGGGACATGCCTTTAAGCATGTTGATAAGGAGGTGTCTACTACAGGACGTATATGCACAAAGTCATATTTGAGAAATGCAGATAAAGCAGATCATTATTCAGAAACACATGCCCATAACTTAACATGTAAACAGTCTAAGCTAGCTGAAGAAAAAATAAATGATTTTTCATCAATCCCAAATAGATCTTTCCTTACTTTAAAAACTAAATGTAGGTTTTTCCTCTAACCTTTTAAAGGGCCTCTCCTGGACGACATGATGCGACTTGACGTTGTGGTTGTATCGGCTGACAATGGGGGTGAAACAGCTTCCCTCCATCCGGATGAGGCAGGTTGCTGGGGCTCCTCAGTGGGCTGCATTGTCAGGACTCCTTTGACTTTAATGAGAACACACACGCACACCAACATAAAGGAGCTGAACTTTGAGGCTGGACTACAATTGGTTGGAGAGTTAATGAACCAAAGGCATGACAGAGCACGTTCTCCAGGGAGATCATCAACAACAGTCCAGCTCTCCCTCTGATACTGTGCTGATTGACTTGGCCTCAAATTGGCTGCGATGCTTCACCCCAGCTTGTGAGGGAAGCTGCACTGTGGCCTGCTGGATGCTCTCTTGTCGGGTCTGACAGTGGAGAACAAAGAAAATTTCAAAGGTTTTCCTCATCTGCCTGTGTCAGCTTGAGTAGGCATGATTGTGATGAGTTGACCGCCGAGATTTCAAAGGGGCTTTTTCCAACTGCTCTGCTGAGTTCCTCAAAGGCCATCAAAGCCAGTGTAACAAACAGGGAAGCAGACATGCACGAATTAGGCACAAAAAAAAAAAAAACGTCTGGGAGAGTCAAGGGCTGAATTTTAAAACGGGGGTAGGTGAAAAACACGATTCGCGGATAACTTTAGCCCGCACTCAGGCACCCTGCAGCAGTCGTCCCACGAGAATTGAGGGCGCCTTCCTCTACTGCCAGGCAGCTGCAGCGACAATGCGATTCACTCACATGACAAGATTTCGCAAAGCAATTAAGCAGGGAGTCAAAGCGGTTCATCGACCTCCTGAGGCAAGCGTCATATTTAGCGCTTCACTCTGAGTTTGAAGAATGAATGAAGTTAGAGAGAAAACTTACAAAGCGACGGCAAGTTATACAGTACACACCTGAACTAGATCTCTAGATTTCCTTTCAAACTTTTTTTTGTTATTTTTGATTTCACCAGCATCTCTGTGAAAAAAAACACAAGCAAGCTTCTCCTGTCACCCTAAATGACACTCCAGACAGAGAAAAACAAAACTTTAAAGATGTGCTCCATGTGCAAATTTTTATTTCTGGGATGTTTTCGCAGTGCCTGTTTTGC